GGAACGGCGCGTATTTTGGTTAGGGATTCGCGTGGAAACGAACAAAGCGTCCGTGCACTGCTGGACAGCGGAGCCCAAAATAGCTTTATAACACGACAATGTTGTCAGCGCTTAGGTTTAGTAATAAATAGTTCACTTTCATGTCCTGTAGTTAAAGGCATCGGAGGTACTAGTAAAGCGACACAGGGATATATAAATTTAAAATTTTATTCTCGGATAGATCGTAATGTTAACTTTGATATAAATGCACTAGTAGTAGATAGGGTCACTGAACGGTTGCCAACCGTTTCGGTTGACACCTCGGCAATGATTGAATTTAAAAATTTGATTCTAGCAGACGACACTTACGCCGTTCCTGGAAACATAGATATGCTCATCGGAGCATCGCTTTTCCCTCATCTTTTGTTAAACAATAAGGTCAGGGGCAACTCCTCGCATACCGCGCCTTACGCACTAGAAACCGTATTGGGCTATGTTATCATTGGCTCCGCCCCCATCATAGACAGTATTTCGGCAACCTCTTATTGTGGTATGGCTGTCGAACCGCTCGAGTCGTTAGTCCGCAAATTTTGGGAGATGGAGGAGGTGAACGTCCCACCCATATCTAGCTCAGATGACAGATTATGCGAGGAAATTTACGTCCGCACGACCGTTCGTGATCGCGACGGTAGATATAGTGTAGTGCTGCACTTTAAGGGAGATGTTTTATCTCTCGGCGATTCGCGTTAAATGGCGGAAAAACGTTTCTACAGCTTGGAGCGTAGGATGCTCGCTTCACCCCAGTTAAAGGAAGCTTACGACGGCGTCATTAACGAATATATAAGAGAAGGTTACATATAATTCGTGGCTTCGAAATTAGATAACTACGAAGACACACCGTCGTATTTCATACCACACAACGGGGTCATTAGGGAGGACAAACTTACATCTAAGTTACGTGTAGTGCTCGACGCTAGTGCTAAAACTAGCACTCACCTGTCGCTTAACGATATCCTCTATAGTGGACAAAATTTACAGGGCAGTTTATTTAATATAATAGCCAATTTTCGTTTGTTTAGTATAGCACTATCCGCCGATATTCGCCAAATGTTTCTTTGCATAGGGGTCCGTGAATGCGACCGTAGATTCCAACGCATTTTATATCGTTTCAACCCAAAGGAACCTCTAATGGTGTTTGAATTTAACCGCGTTTGTTTTGGTTTAAAGTCGAGCCCATTTCATGCGTTACGCACGGTGAAACAGCTCGCCCACGATGAAGGTCCCTCTTACCCTAAAGCTAAGAGGGCAATTGAGAGCGGATTATATATGGATGATTGTGTGTACTCGGTCGATAGCGTGGAGGAGGCCACCCTAACCACCGCCGAGGTTATAAGGCTCATGAAATCGGGTCAATTCGATCTTGTGAAGTAGACTAGTAATTCGCGTCCGGTTTTAGATACAATCCCACTATCACACCGTCTTTCGGCGATAAAGGAATTCGACGACTCCGATACACACAAGGTGCTCGGTCTGTGTTGGTCACCAGAGTCCGACGTGTTTAGCCTTAAGGTAAATCCACCCGTAGAGAAATGCACAAAGCGCACAATACTGTCATGCGTTGCTAGATTATGGGATGTCATGGGTTTCGTAGCTCCAGTGGTATTATACGCTAAGCTTTTGATTAAACAACTTTGGTTATTTGAATGCGATTGGGATGATTCGCCGCCTGACAGCATTGCTCGTTTGTGGCAGCGCTTTAGAGAGGAACTTCCTTTACTAAGAGAAATTAGAATACCGCGTCATATAAACGTCGATAGAAATAGCGTCATAACGGTCGTTGGGTTTGCAGACGCCAACGAGAAGGCTTACGGGGGCGTTGTATATTTCCACGTTCAGAATAATGGTAGAAATTCGATTAGCCTCATTAGTTCTAAGTCGAGAGTCTCCCCCCGTAAGGTTGTCTCTCTGGCGCGCTTAGAGCTTTGCGCAATATTAGTACTCACCAAGCTTATTACCGCAGTTATCAGCGCATGTAGGGATAGAGTTCACATAGAAAGGATATTTGCCTTTTCCGACTCCACCGTCGCCTTATGCTGGGTTCATTCTTCACCTCACCGTTGGGATACGTTTGTCGCGAACCGAGTGGCCAAGATCCAAGACGAGTTAGAAACGCGGAACTTTTATCACGTATCCGGTACCGAAAACCCTGCCGATTGTCTATCCCGGGGACTCACCCCGATGCAAATAATGGACCACCCGCTTTGGTTCCATGGACCTTCTTGGGTTCACTTGGATCCCTCACAATGGCCGATAACCGATTTCGAACCTTCGTCAGTGTCACAACCGCCGGAAGAGAAGAGACACGCTCTAGTGGCGAACGTTTCGAGCGAGGTTTCTCCAATCATTGCTTTGGCGAACCGCTTGTCCTCTTGGTCGAAATTATTGCGTAGCGTAATTTACGTTTGTCGATTCGCGAAGCTTTTACCGCGACGTTCGTATGTCTTAGCGTCCGATTACAACTATGCCGAGTCGCTAGTATTACGTGAACTTCAACGTGCGCATTTCTCTGAAGAAATTACAAGATTACAATCGAATAGAGCTTGTAGTCGCGCCTTTCAACAACTTTCAACGCCTTAAGCCATTTTAACAGGATGGGATTGTAAGGGTAGGTGGACGCTTGTCCAACTCGCAGTTGAGTTTCGACCAACGGCACCCTATAGTTTTATCGCGTAAAGACCATATCATGAATTTATTAGTCGATTACCATCATAAATTGAACTCGCACGCTGGCCCCGACTTGTTGATGTCGATTTTGCGTCAAAATTATTGGATTCTTTCTGCACGTAGTTTAATACGCAATCGGGTGCACAGATGTATAGCTTGCTTTCGGGCACGCCCCAAGCCGTCATTTCCGGAAATGGCGGAACTTAGATCTTGTAGAGTAATACAATCGGTAAAGCCCTTCACGCACACCGGGTCGGATTTCGCTGGTCCGTTTAAGGTCACGCTCACTCGCGGGCGTGGTATAAGATCCACAAAGGCTTACGTCTGCATTTTCGTATGTCTAACTACTCGAGCGCTGCATATAGAACTCGTTGGTGATCTAAGCACAGCAGGCTTTATGGGTGCATTTAAAAGATTTCTATCCCGTAGAGGCCCTGTAAATAAATTATATTCGGATAACGGTACGAACTACGTCGGTGCAAAACGTATTCTATCGGAACTACATGAGCTCTTAGCTAGCAAGTATTATAATTCGGAGTTCGCTCACATTCTAGCCGAGAACCGCATTGAGTGGTTTCTGAAGGTCCCAGCCGCGAGTCATTTTGGAGGCAATTGGGAGACCAATATTAAGAGTCTAAAGAGTCACTTATACCGAGTAATAGGAGATCAAATTTTGTCCTTCGAAGAGCTAAGTACGGTGCTCGCTTAAATTGAATGCGTAATGAATAGCCGCCCACTTTGTCGGACGTTGTCTAGTGACCCCTCGGAACCGCTGGCTCTAACTCCAGCACATTTTTTGAATTTCACGCCTTTAAAGTATTTGCCCGCCGCAGATATGGATGAGAACAGACTTAGCATTTCCGCACGCCACAAGTTATTAGACCGGTTAGTGCAATCGTTTTGGAAATGATGGAGGATGGAATACTTGCATACTTTGCAGTCTTGGCAAAAATGGAACACAGCAACTGAGCCTTTAGCTGTAGGGACTGTAGTTGTGCTCACTAAGGAGAATACGCCACCTCTCCATTGGCCGTTAGGAATTGTCGAAGAGGTCTTTCCCGGTTCCGACGGAGTAATTAGGATAGCTCGCGTTAAGACCACGGTTGGGTCTTACCTACGTCCTGTTGTCCGTTTGTGCCCCTTGCCTCTTCCATAATTTAAATTACCTTTCTAGATTAAAATTGTAGTTGAATTTAGGTAATCTTAGCGTTAGTTAGTTATTTGTTAGTTGATCTTAGCTCTAGTTGTTTTAGTTATTTTGAAGGAGAGCCTTCAAGGGCGGGGGAGATGGTTGCGCGGAAAACCATTCGTATTTATTTTATTTGACGGTAGGCTGCCAAATCGGTTATCCCTTTCCAAAACGATATCATTCGTACCCTCCTATCGACACATCGGGGTGGTGGGGTGGGAGGGGAAAGAAGATGATTCTAGAACATCACGTAATCATCGGAACCGAGGATATATAAGACACGCGCGACCGACGCGTGGCCTCTTCCCGCCGCGCTCGTCGTTGAAACCACACCGATAGTAGAAACCGCTTTAGCCTGGAAGCAATCGAGCTCCAGGGAACCCGCCTCAACTCGTGTGAGATATAGTCGCGCACCGCCTCTCTCCGGAGTGTTCCAGAAGTCGCAGTTATAGTGCTCGACCGCACAGAAGAAACATCCCGGTGAGTCAACATTTTCCTAATAGTATTTTCCTGCTTGATACAGTAGTTTTAACCCGCTCCAATTTTGTGTTTTCCTAATGAAGCAGGATTCCTTTCATCGATTTGGCATAATAGTTCGTTTTTTTGGGAAGAGCGAGTGCATTGTACCGCATATACAAGTGTAGAAGCATTAGTAGATACAGTTCACTTAGATTAATATTTCGCGCAATAGGTTTAAGGTTCGACCGGGGAACTAGACTTCGGCAGCCTTAACACATTGAGTGCCAAATACGCAATATTGCGTAGGTTGAAACAATGGTGGAAGCCAACTACGAAATATTACGTAGATCTTCCATAGCCCATAAATGATAAATTATATTAATTGGCACCCTGTATTGCATATTTTTATGTTCTTTGGCCTCTTAAATAAAATAAGAGACAGAAAAATATTAACTTTATTTCTTTTATATTTCACAAATGACATGCTTTCTCAGGCAATTTTATTGAAAAATATTAGTTTTCTAATGAGATACTTCATATTAAGTTTACTTTTTATAACAAAAGTAGTAATTATTTATTTTAAAATAAATTTAGAATACGTATTTCTAATGATTTGAAAAATGAATTGTAACAAAAAAATTAAAATAAGCTATGTAATACGAGGATCAGTATAGAAAATTTTAAAGCAATTATTTACACATAAGGCAGGCTTTTCAGGGCAAGTAGCACACACAAACAATGATTCCTTTCGCTTCTTGTTTTTTGTGCAAAAGCGGCAAGGTTTGGCTGGAACGGCTTTCTTAGCGGTGGGTGGTAGTTTTTCTAAGTAATGAAAGTTTTGTAATGGAACTCGTGCACCTCCGTTTGTCGATAAGCGACTCGCAACATTAGCAGGCGATCGAGGTGGTTCAGAGGACCCTTGTAACGACGACGAAGGTATAAGTTGAAGTTTGTCTTGGGCATCTTGTGGTTGTACAGGTGCTGCGCATGATGCACCGGACGACACTGCTGCTGGATTCAAACTTAGTCCCATGAGATATTTTACGAAATCTTCACGAAACTTTATCAGAAGCATTTTCGAAGTATGATCATTGATGCGAAGTAATCGATGGGCATTTTGGACTTAAACTTCAAAAATGTGTAATGCCAGTTTCTTATGCCATCTAAGAGTTTTTCGAAGGCACGAGTAATATGAAACCATCTGGTCTCCTCTGTCCACACCAGACATCCCCAGGTTGTAGTCATCAACGATAGTAGGATTCAACGACAATTTCCCGTTCCTTTTCTTACTGTCACGAATTGCAATTTATGTTTGTTGGAAATCACTAAGACGTCGCGTTTGTCTTTCTACTTACAAACAGTAATGTCATTGCATACTTTTGCAGCCATTTCGCCAAGCTTCAACTTAGTGTTGGCTACGTCTAGAGGAAGGTTCTTGCGGATCTTTCGAAGAGTACTACATATGTACGTTTTTCTTTGACCAAGACGCCTTGTTAGATCTGGTATGTTATAAAAATTGTCAGCGTAGATAACATGGCCTTTGTCTAAATACACTTCCATTAGATCTAATACAACTTCGGTAATATGTTTCCGGTGGCGGCTTCTCACTCTTTCCTCTATAAACACGTATCTTCATAACTATTCCTGATGATTTGCAAAGTTCATACAGTTTCACGCCATATTTATGTTTTTTTATTTTTTATATATTGACGAAAAACCAGTCTTCCTCTCCATAAATCCATCGATTCATCAATACTTAAATCAGTTTGTGGGTAATATATCTTAGACATAATATTGTTAAAACGATCTAATATTGGTTGTATTTTATGCAGTCTTGGTGTTGCTGTGTCAACACTTTCAGCAAAATGAAATATTTGAAAGCGATTTCCACTCATAAGTTTTCTAAAAATTGGTAACTTGTACAGTGGATCTATTTTCCAATAATGACTTATAGTAGGTAAACGAACGAGTCCCATCCAGAGCAACATACCAATGAATTTACGCATTTCTTCCTGATTAGTATCTTTCCAATACCTAAAACGGGCATGTTTTTGTACAGACCCTTTTGTGCCTTTTGTGTAGTTGTTTGTTGCTTGCACTAATGAATCCATAAAATGGTTTGAAAAAAAATCACCTAGCAATGCAGGAGTAAACAGGACGAAAGTAAGTAACAGAGATGCCAAGCTACGCAATATTACGAATACGTAATATTGCGTATACTGGCATCATATGATGAAAGGGTTGTAATTGGTGCCGGACTACGTAATATTACGAATACGTACTATTGCGTAGATTGGCATCCATGGGATACTTTTTATAGTGGGTGCCAGCTACGTAATAATGCGTAGCACACCATTTGTATGGTGGCCACCGATTTCACTATGACGCTAACTTTTGGCACTCAATGTGTTAAACACGTGGCTCCACCAGTTGGTATTCCTTTATACATATTTAGATTCTCATTTTTTAGATTCTCTGGCTTTGATTTTGGATTTTGTTTATTTAGAATCGTGAATTGGTTTTCGTTGTTTTAGGTTGTTCAGCAATATTTCAAAGGAATATTAATAGTATAGATAGTGTATACGGTACCTATACACTTCCTTTTTTCGTTGGTTATATTTATATTGATTACTGCTTTCGATTTCGGTTTTCTGCGATTTGGTTTAAATTGATTCAATTTTTTTGGTTATCGTTTTCGAATTCGTGTTGTGTCTTCAATTGGTTTTGTTGTTTTGATTAAAAAAAACATGTAAAAGGAATATTTATTACTTTTAGATATTTTGGATTTGCTTTTAAAAAAATATTTAAAAGGAAATTTAATGCCTTTTAGGTATTTTAATGTTTTTTTATAAATAGGTTTTTTGTTAATTCTTAATTCCTCGCAAACGTAAGTCCAGCCTTTCAAGAGTATCTTCTCAAAGATAAGTGAAAAGATTAGCTTGATCGCTAGAATCTTTAGAAGATGCTGAACTGAGAAGGCAAGAACAAGCAGAGCGTCAGGCTGCTTTTAGAGCATCTGAGACACCTTTTCAACGTCAGCAAAGGCGTCTTGAACAGACAGAGCGTCAGGCTGATTTAAGAGCTTCCGATACACTTGTCAGGAAAGGCGTCTTGAACAGGCAGAGTGTCAAGCTACTTTAGGAGCTACTGAAACACCTGCTCAAAGTCAGCAAAGGCGTCTTGAACAGGCTGAGCGTTAAGCTACTTTAAGAGCTTCTGAAGCACCTGCTCAAAGTCAGCGAAGGCGTCTTGAACAGGCAGAGCGTCAAGCTACTTTAAGAGCTACTGAAATACCTGCTCAAAGTCAGCAAAGGCTATTCGAACAAGCGGAACGTCAGGCCGCCTTAAGAGCCGCGGAAACACCTGATGAAACTCAACACAGACTCATTGAGCAAGCTGAACGTCAATCTACTATAAGGGCATCTGAAACACCAGAACAGACACAGGCGCGAAGAGATGTAAATGCACAGCTCCAAGTTGAACGTCGACAAAATGTTCAAAGAAAAAATTGGTCGGTTTTTAATGACGAATTGTTATCGGACTGATGGACAAGGCGTGTCGATTTTGCAGCGCTTTAAAATGGAAAGATGAGACCGCAGTCATGTGCTGTTCCAAGGGCAAAGGGGAACCAGAAGAACCTTTGAAAACTCTTTTTATATGATGCTAATGAGTCATGGTGCTTTTTAAACAGCATCCGGAAATATAACTCATGCTTTCAAATGACGTCCTTCGGAGTTGACCGGGAAATAATATTGCCGGAATTTTCGCCTACATTTACGGTGCAAGGGCAAATTTGTCATAGAATAGGTTCACTTTTTCCAGCTGAAAACGAACAGTATAATTTTTTATTATGGGTGACGAAGAAATTTATCCAGGGAGTTGAGAGAGACACAGTGTTCAAAATTCAAAGATTCTTGCATGAACGTAACATTTTAGTCAAAACATTTAAAACTGCTTTAGGAAACCTACCTGAAGAGGATTATAAAGTCGTCATTCACGCAGATCGGACCCCTCGAGGAGAGCATGAAAGGCGCTACAATGCACCTTTGATAAACGAAATAGCAGCCGTAATTAGTGGTGATCAATTTTCTTCACGAGACATTGTCTTGCGAGCACGTGATGATACGTTGCAACGGGTAGCCGATACACACAAGTTTAATGACGCTCTGCAATACCCATTGATTTATTGCAAAGGACAAGAAGGTTATCATTTTCAAATTCCACTCATTAACCCGGTCACAAAGGAGCCTACTCCGAACAAAAAAGTATCATGTATGAATTTATATGCGTATCATATGATGTTGCGAGGAAATGATTTAAAATGACAGGCAAATTCGCGCTTCGCCTCTGACGAAACTCGACCATCGAAATTTGAATTTTCTTAGAGAATACGAAATACATACTTCAAATGTCAACATTCTCACTCATGACAGTTCGTCTCGATTCCATGCCCGATTGAGAGGCGCCACCGACGCTTTCAAATTTAACAGAACGCGAATTTGATATTTCACCGCGGATTCAGCTTTTGAAATAAAAAAATGTTCTTACAGAATAGATTTACAGTACTACTTATAATATTAATTTTTGATACTGTACGATGTAATTGAAACCCGCTACGCTATGGCGATAGCTAAAAAGTATACCTACATTTATTATTTTTTATTGTAAACAATATATAAATAAACAAATCAGAAATATCTACAATAATGTTAACATTACCAATATTTCCGTTAACTATACCAAATAAACTCATAGTACTAGTGTTATTGGTTCACGTGGATCGAATACCGGATTTAAGCTCACGTCTTTTTTTGCAGTCTTTACCATTAGACATTAGGCTACTATTAAGAATTGATTGAAAAAGGCAAAGGAATCCTTTAAGTGACTTACAATGGTATCACGAGGATTAAGCGGAACGTCAAGTAAAAGGCTTCGTCTAGTACCTCGCTTAACTTAAGCAGGAAAAGGAACCCTTAGAAACGGAATAGCTATTTATGCCTCGATATATTTTTATTCCTTTGTACTTATTTGGGAACTAGTGTGTAACTTTAGTTATATCAAAATATTTGCAATATATTTTCAACTAAAACAGATTGTCATAGTTCAGCACATCGATATATCGATGGTTAAATTAACACCGCTTAAGAGACTAGCACCGCCGAAATAACGACGGAATCAAAAGCTTTCTTATAGTCCACGTACATAAAGCATAATAGCAGATTGTAATCTTTATAAAAGATAAACTATTGCTATAATTTTTTTAATATAGGATGTGGGGGAGAAACGAGCACACAGTCCACCTGATGGTAAGTGGATGCTGTGGTCCACAAACGTCTATATTTATCGATTAAGAATTAAAATGCAGATGCGTTGCCAGCCTTTAGAACTAAGATGAAATGCCTCGTTTTCCGTAAAAAGGTTCTCGGGTTCTCTGCACTCACCACACAAAACACAGCAGCATCGAACCACTATTTTACGCTGATATTCTGTGAGAGCGTGGTTAATTCCCCGGTCGAGCCGACCCATACTACAATACATAATATAGCTGCAGAATGACTCTAAATTTAAATACGTATACATTAACAATTTTAGCTTAATGAATAAAATATTTCAACTGTCTTACAAATTCAGTCAGATTGTAATTTATTTAATGGTAAACTTTTAGTTTAATATTATTAAGTGGTTTATTTGGATTGTTTTGCTGTCTTGTTAATCTAATGGCAGTAAAAAACACAAATGCTGATAATGAGGTCCGAATCCCGAGTCAGGCCAAAAAATCACTTATTGAGTTTGACTGCCAAAAAATTCTCACTTGTTCCTGTGCTTGATCTCTCCCCTTTACTTCCCGTGAGGGAACAGAGAGTGCACTTGAGCTTGCGCATATGCTCGGTCAATATAATCCTTTTCCGCACCATAGAGGCTGACCGCCGTGACAAAATTCGGTCTGGAGGACATTATTTGTTTTAAACAGAAACACTTTGTAAATAATATATACATATATATACATATATATATATATATATATATATATATATATATATATATATATATATATTAATTTACAATAAAATTTCG